GGGGGGGGTCTGTCTTTCAGCCCCGTACAGCAGTGGCAGTAAGGTAATCGCAACAGGGTAATGGTCTCTGTCTCTTCGAGGGTGAACTGAAACGCAAAGTGGGACCAGGGTGTGGGATGGCCTGAGGGCATTACCGTTTAGACTGAGGTGCTCCTTTGTTGGTTTTTTTTTTAAACACCCAGTCAGTAACTATCCTGTCTCACAAAGCCTCTTTTTAACATCAGTTGTTGGCCGTCTTTACTACAACAGAAACAGGGACAAGAGGGCTAGCCCCAGGCAGTCCCCGGTGCCCAGCGTGTGCATTTGACCAGTGCTGATGAGCCGATCGTACCTTGGTGACTACCCTTAGCTAACAGGCAGGTTAAACTACTGACCAGCCCTGAGGTTTCTACCCTGCTCCCCAGGCCACGGCCTACATGAGAGTTTTGGTTTTTTTTGTTTTTTTTTTTTGAACCCCTGTGCTGCAGGGATACGCGCGCAGCCTCCCAGGGCGCTGGCACGATGGTTACACAGGCTGTGCTCCACGGAACTGTGTCGCCGTATAAGCAAATGGGCCAAGCAGTGACGGTCCGGTCACGGAGTGAAGAGGACCGTGCCGCTATGAGGGCACAGGCCGGGGCCGGGCTAGTCTCTGCTCACATGGTGGGAAGAAACGCAGCATCCTTCCTGCAAAGGCTCCCCTCCATTGCAGAGAGAGGTAGGTGCGTGTCTTAGCCAGCTGGCAGGACGTATAAATGCCCCTTCCACCCCCTGAGCCAAGAGAAGAAGTACTGTATGGCATCACATCAGCAATGTGCTCTGTTTATTCAGGAAGATTGTAGGCCTTTTTCCAAACATCATGCTTTCAAATAGATCAAAACATGACGCCAGGGGAAGAGGCGACTTTCCAAACACGGAGATTCCCCCCATCCCAACTAGTTATAGAATTACGGCCTGACAAAAGCAGACAAACCAGCCCCCGCCAGGCTTCAACTCCGAAACCCCATTTCGCACCCAGCCTGTTACAGTCACCCTATTCCCCGGCACCCTTAAGCGATGCCCTGCAAGAACAAAGGCGGTAGCGCAGGGTGCAGCCAGCCCCCCCCGCCGTTGTGTATTTAACTTTGGCAGCTCTGCAGTAAGCCGAGAGGCTGAGAGTCTGCCCAGGACAGGCAGCGGGGCTGCTTCAGCAGGGGAGGAAGGGACCTGAGGAGGTGACCTGCAGGCTGCAGCAGCTGGGCCCTGCCTCCGTAGCCGCAGGCCGAAGCCCAAGCACGCTCCCTTTGGCTCTCTGCAGTGAAGTGTGGGAGGGGAGGGATGGCTGTATACTTACAGTGGCCCAGTCTCAAGTCCAATTTATAAATAGGAGCTCCATCCTAGGCATTTTGGTTCTGTCTCACAAAACTAGCTGGCAAATTTCTCCGAGATAGCCAGGCCCAAAACAGCAACAGATGCAGCCGATGATGGCTGTGGTATAATGCCAGAGCAAGATACGGGCATCCGGTACGGTATCCATCTCCCTCGGATACGAGTAGTTGAGTACCTGCTTTATTTCCCCCCCACCCCAAGCAGCACGTTTTCTACGGTAAAGTTGCATAAGATGTTTTTTGATAAGGCAGAGGCTGGCTTCCACAGCCGGCGGATGGCAGATCCGGTTTTCAATCCCCCCATTTAATCAGAATGCTGCTCCAATGGCTGGTCTCAAATGCCGCAGTAATCGCAACTCGTTCACGTTTATCGACTCTGTAGGGTACAATTATCCATTTTAAGTTGCAGCAGAACCTTTCTTTTTAATTATTAACAGGCAGCCCTGGGTAAGTGCATTAAGTAGATACGATGCTGGAGGGAAGAAAAGCTATCCCTTCTCTTGGCTAAAAAGAAAATCCTTCCTCTTCAAGCAATGAAACCTCAAGCCTTAGTTGAAACAAGCACAGTTCTTGGTGGAAAACTTGCTGTAGCGTCAAGGAGCGAGAAGCCTCCGGCTCCCTGTTCTGCCTCAAACCCTATTCTGAAAGTGGCCAAAACAGAGAAAGGGTAAGAAGTTGAGTGGATGTTATCTGAGCACCTGGGAATAAACAGCACAGTGAGTGGCCTTGTCCAAGCGAGCAACGAGCACGCTTACCTTCCGGTTCTGACTCACGGAACCAAGCTCTGCAGTTGTGTGCTGTACAGTGAAATCAAACAGC